TTCCAGAACTGGAATGAGGGAGACCAGGGCCCCCTTGGGAGCCTTATTAATGTGAACAGAAATAGGATTTGCTTAGTATCTCTACTGCGGTTTCCTCGAAAGTTACAACAAGTCAATCCACCGATCGGATCGATGCATTTGATTTATCTTCATTCTCTCGGTCAATAGTGTTTATAGATCCCAAGGAGAAGGGATACGCCAGTTCGCTTCTGTGCTGGCCCTACACCTGCGAGCCCGGGAGGGCTCGCCTCCTCCGGGCACAGATTTTCTTCAGGAACAGTGGGAGCTCCCTCTTCCACCGACACGACTCATCTTGATTCTTTCCAAATTTTTGTAAACACATAAAATATAATAGCTCAGAAGGCAAAGAACCTTGTAGAATCTCCTAAAGACTGCACCTCAGCTAAGAGTTAAGGATGAGAATTCTTTAAAGAATTGGAAACAAGAAGCCCTGCTTGGAGGGCGTGGGGGGTGTGTGGCTCCTGGGTCTGTTTCATCGGCCCCCACCGCGTGGTGTGTCACAGGCAGTACACGCAGGGAATCAGAGCTCCACACGGGAGTCATAAAAATGCTCCCTGGTTTGATGAAATGATTTCTGGTCTCTGAACTATTCCTCTAAAAGAAATTGGAAGTGTCCGAGAACACAGCGCATCGTCTGTTGGAACTCATCGTGAAGCTAGAAAAAGGAGAGCAGGGAAATGTTTGTGAGTTCAAAACGCTTTTTGACATCTGCTGTCCCTACTCTCCCTCCTCAAAGGTAGTGCAGAAGATGCGGCCTTTCTGTCCCTCTGATTCTAGTCTGCACAAAGGCCCAGCTCTGCGGCCAGAGCAGGGTCCAGCACACAGTAGGCCTGCTGCAGGTGGGTGCTGGAGACGGGCGTGTGAACTTGGGTCACATTCTGGAGCACATGAGCACCTGCACTTTTTCCTTTATATTTTCATATGTGAAGCACCTGTATCTCCTCTCCCCCTTATTGGGGACGGAGGGAATTTTATTCTAAACAAAGCCTTGGGAGACCAAGGGATGGGGCGGTGGGGGGGGGGGGCGCGGTGTGTGCGCACAGGCGCGCAGCGACCTTCTCAGAAGGGTGCTGGATCCCCCGCCGGCCTGGGGTCCTGAGGACGGGAAGAGACCGGGCTGTGGCCGGAGCCCCGCCACCCTCTTCCCGCCAGCCCGCCTGTTGTCTGGGCATCACGGGAGTGGAGAAACATTAGTGTGGGCCAGCTGCCGAAGCGGGGCGGGGTCTAGGGAGAGGTCAAGGTCGGCGGAGAGGCGGCTATTGATCCGGCTTGGAACGCGAGACAGGGAGAGCAGCAAGACTAAAGGGGGAGCTGTGAGACCAGACATTAACAGCTTTCTGCGCTAATGGTGCCCGTGCCAGACGGGCAGAGGGAAAAAAAGGAGACTGGAGCGGCAGCTGGGATTGCTCGCTGCCTGCGCCTGGCTGCCTCTCGGGAGAGAAGGAGGAGGAGGAGGAGGAGGAGGAGGAGGGCGAAGGGGCCAGCGAAGGGCTGGGCCGGGCCAGGGCCGCCTCTCCCCGGCCGCCGCGAGGTGGAGCGCGCCGGCGGGCGGTGGCGTGTCCGGGCGCCGGCCGGCCCGCCCGCGCGTCCCTCTTCCCGCCGTCGGGGCAGCGCGGGGCCAATGAGGAAGCGCTCCTCTGTCTGTCGCGGCCCGTGCCGCCCCCTGCCCGCTACTTCCTGCCGGGGTGGGGCGGAGGGTGCCCCCTTCCCAGACCTCGCAGCCCCGGCGCGCCGGAGGTGGCAGCTGCTGCCGGGGCCCCGGAGCACCCCGCGCAGTCCGCGGAGAGACCTCTTTCTCGAACGGGGCTGCCCCGTTCCCTGCTCCTCCTGCCCCCGCCACCCAAACTCAGTCCCCTTCCTTGTTATCAGCCCCCGGGAGGGCGAGGGTCGACGGTCGGGATTTCGGGTGCCCGAGCGCAGGCAGGCCAAGGCGATCTGAGTCCCGACCTGCGCCCATGCGCTGTGTGACCCTGGGCAAAACGCTAACCCTCCCTGGACTCCACAACGCCAATGCTCAGAAAGAGAGCTAACTGCTTTCTCTAATAATCTGGGCGAGTTGGGATGGCCGGTTTATGGTTTTCTTAAGAAGTTTATTGAAGGTGTGTGTGGGCATTTTTTTCTTATTTAGGCCACTTTTCTGGAAAAGATTTTCGGTGAGGGGCGGCATGCAAGGAGGTGCTTCTAGACTTTGGACCACGTGGAGGTGGGGTGCGGTTTGGGGGTGGTGAGCAGCTGCCTGTAGTCCCGGGCAAGAGGTGGGGAAAGCCGACGCGCCGTACCCCATCCATCCCCTTCCACCCGCTCTGCGGGCGACCCTGCAGCCCATGCGAAAAACTACATGCTAGGGCACATTTTTTTTATTATTTTTTTGGGGGGGGTGCTTTGGGAAGGGAGCCCTTTCTGTTCTCGCTAATGGGCGCTGCGCGCTGTTAAGTTGTTGGTATGGTCGCCCCACCTAAGACCTTGGGGGGGCGAACCAAAACCCCTTGTGCCTGCGAAGGAAAAGGCCCTGAGGGAGGCGGCGCGCCCGGAGGCGTCACAGCCCAGCCCCTCGTTGGGTGAAGCCGCCCAGGCCGGGCCTGGGGGCGGGGTGGGGTGGGTGCAGCTGGGCTCGCCTGCCAAGCCCAGCCCGCAGCCAGGCCCCGACCCGCCCCGGCCGCCTCCTGCCCAGACCGAGAAAGCCTGAGAAGGGAGAGTACTGTAGCCGCGTGGTGGCCCAGCCCGGGAGGTCAGGTCATAAAACAGACGGAACTGGCCGCCGCCGGGGCCGGAGAGGGGGATGCCCACGCAGACTATGTCCTGGCCTTGTCCCTGGGCCATGGTCAAACCCCCCAGTCCTCCTGTACTCGCCGGCTGGAGGCCACACGGGTGACCAGGCAGCTGTGTCTCTCCCTCTCTGACCGGCGATTTCGAATCCTGCCCTGGGCGGAGGGGCACTTTGGTGGTGGGGGGGTGGTGGTTCATTTTTCCAGGTTGCAGTACTTGTCAGGGGGTGGGAGGGTACTGTGGGACCAGAGTATCTTCCGAGATCCGGCCACACTTACTTCTGGGTCAGCAAGTACTAGTTCCTCTCCCACGGGGAGCACCCCTACCAGCAGACCCCTACACTTCCTGCAGACCCCAAAGGGGTGGGGCGCATGTTTGACCCCGAGGAGCTGAAGGGCTGGGGAGGTGGAAGCGCACAGATTCGGGTACACATTCCTTCCAGGACGGGACTCCAACAAGGTCTCACGCTCCTTCTCCCCGACATGTGCTCTTAACTCTCTTCTCTTGGTATCTTTCATTTTGTCTTCTTGGCTCTCCCAGCGTTTGTAATATCAGGATTTACATGGAGACACTTTTTAGAAGTTTAGCCCCATCCCCCAATAAAACAAAAAGTAAAAACAACCAAGCTACTTTTCCACGGAGATGAAGCAATTGACCATGTACCCCAATCGCGGTGCCCACCCAACCCTCTTCCACAGCGACCCCCGCCCCCTCGGCGCCCCCAGCAAATCCGAGAGCTTTCGGCGGGCGGGTGGGGACTGGCGTAGATTCAACTTCCACACACACACCGCACGCACTCCGCCCCCCTCCTCAGGGGGTCCTGTTCCCAAGAGGGGAGGAGGGACCAGAGGATTTTCTTTTATTTAAAAATGTCCTGCCCACTGTCCCCCTACCCCTTTAGCGCTGCCCGTGCACGAGGAGGAGAGCAGTGCACAAAAACGCCGTTTGCACGTGTGGCCGGCCTGGACTGCGGGTGTGCGCACGGGCGAGAGTGTGTGTGTGGGTGTGTGTTCGCGCGCGCGCGCGCGCGCGCGCGCTGGAGAGAGTGTCTCTGTGTGTGTGTGCTTTCTTGTTCTCTTACAGGGTACAATGTTAAAAAGCCACCGCTAGTCGCCCCCAGTGCTCCGACTCTCTGGGTCTTTTTGTCTCTCTAGTGCAGATTAAACGTCACGTCCGCACTTGAACTTGAATTTTATCCCATTGTACAGAGGCAGCCCCAGCCATAGAGAGACCGAGAGCTCCCAGAGAACCCGGACTCCGCCATCTTCACGTTGCAATCTATAGCTCCCAGTCCGCGCCCGCACCGACCCAGGCGCACTGGGCGAGCCGCCCCTCGGCCCAGCTCCCCCCGGGCCCGCGGCGCCAGGGGAGCGCTGGGGAGCGCTCGCGGGGACCAGGCAGCCTCTCCGGCCGGCGCCAGCCTGCCAGGTGAACTGGGAAGGAGCCGATCCTGGAGTCCCCCCAGAGCCTCGGAAGGGTCAGTCTCCGAGAAAAAAACAGGCAGCCCGCAGAAAACCCAGAAACAAGCAGACCCGGGCAGTTTTACATTGCTTCGGGTTTTTTGAGGGGGCGGGGTGAGGGGGTACGAGACAAGTCCCCAAGTTTTCTTTGCTTTCTTTTCTTTTCTTTTTCTTCTTTTATTTTTTATTTGTTTGCATTTTTTCCCTTTTCCCTTCTCCTGGTAGAAGTGCGCTTTTCACCTACCAGACCCTGAAAGAAAGTGTCAGGAGCCGGTGCAAAATCCGGTTTAGTTCAAGAAGACATTTGGAAGTCCAGGAGGCCAAGCAGTTTGAAGAAGTGCAAAGGATTTTTTTTCCTTCTAAAGAATATATTTTTAAAGAAACCAGCCAGTCTGCGGCAAGCAAGCAACAGCAGATTTTTTTTTTTTTTGCCTCTTTCTCCTATTTTAGATCGAGGGTTTTCTTTCCTTTTTATTCTGTTTTTCTTTTTGCAAACAAAACAAAAAACAGCATAGAAGAAAGAGCAAAATAAAGAAGAAGAGGAGGAAGAGAGGGCAAGAGAGGAAGGGGGAAAAAAAAAACCAAAACACCAACCCCGGCAGAGGAGGAGGCGCGGCGGCGGCGGCGGCGGCGGCGGCGGCGGCAGCAGCGGCGGCGGCGGCGGCGGCGGCGGCGGCGGCAGCTCGGACCCCCTCCGCCGGCTCCCCCCATCAGAGCAGCTCTCCGGGCGATGCCAGAATAGATGCCGGGGCAATGTCCCGCCGCAAACAGGGCAACCCGCAGCACTTGTCCCAGAGGGAGCTCATCACCCGTAAGTGTCTGCAGCGTGCGCGCGAGGGGCCGGAGAATGGGGCTCCGGGCGCCCAAGGCTGGGGACACCGAGCCCGGCGCAGCCAGGCCGGGCGCCGGGGCGGCCCGCAAGCTCGCAGAGGCAGCGGCGTCGGCCCAGAGCCTGGTGAGGGGCAGGGGGGCCATAGGAAAGTTTCTTTGCAGCCTGGGGAGCCGGGGTGCTGCGCAGTCAGACGCGCCCCGGGCTCAAGGGCCTGCAGAGCGGGTGCCGGGCCGGGGAGGGGACGCGCAGGCTGGATGAGGTGTGTAGGTGCGCGCGGAGCCCGGCTGGACCCTCGCCCCTCCGAGCGGCGTGTGTGGCGGCGGCGGCGCTGGTGGCGGGGTTTGCAGAGGAGGGGGAGGGGGCTGGCGGAGAGGAGGGGGAGGGGGAGCCGGGAAGTGGGGAAAAGTTGGCGAGCGCGTGGGTCCGCGCGGACGGCGCGGGCGGAGGAGCGCGGGGTGCGCTCCGGGCTCCGGGAGACGCGGGTCGCTCGGCGGCCGCCGTCCCCGAGGCCCCCGGCCGCTGCACCCGGCCAGGCAGGGCTCCGGCCCCGCCGGTCCTGGGATTCCGCAGCCGCTTTTCTCGCCCCTCCTCTTGCTATTTGCAAAAGAATCCAGCTGCGCGGCCGTTTGCCGGGCTCTGCCCCCCCCCCCCCCCCCCGCCAATCTCCCCACCTCCGCTGTCTCCTGGGATGATATCCTCTTCTTTCCCCCCACTTCAAAAAAAAAAAGGTGGGGGGATTGGGGGCTGATGAAAAATCCCCGCCACGGGGGGAAAAGGTTGTCAGCTAGAAGTGGGAAGAGAGGGATGTGCTTGTAAAATAGTAGTAAAAAAAAAAAAAGAAGAAGAAAAGGAGAGAGACCTATCAATTTCTTACCCGTCCTTCTTTCTCAGTATCTTTCATCTTCTGTATCTAAATAAACAAGTCGGGTCGCAATGGAAATCCATCGGCTGAAATCGTGTGGATTTCAAGCCAATGGCGGGGTGGGCAAAGTCTTGCAGAGGGGCAGAGAGTCGGGCTGATTTAGCGAAGGGAAAAAGCGAGCGCGAGCGCGAGCGGGCCAGGTTCGGGGTTTGCCGCGGAGCTGGCCCCGGATGCCCGCTCAGCTGCACCGGGAAGGTCGGCTCGCGGCGCTACCCGGCCGGCCGGCCAGAGCTTCGCGGCGCGGGAACATTTCCCCGCGGTCCTTGTTCTCGCGGTGCCTCGGTCGCTGTTTGTATTTTTAAAAAATTTATTGCAAGAGAAATAAAACATTCTCTGGGTGCCATCGAGACCGCGGGCAGGCTGTGTTCCTGCAATCCGCCGGGCACCTCGTCGGTCTGGGGCCGGCCGCCCGCGCGGAGCTGGAGAGGACTGCGCGCCCAGCCGCCGCCGAGGACTGGCTGCGGGGCAGCCGAGAGCCGAATATTTATGTTATATTTTAAAAAAATTTAAATAAATAAATAAATATATATATATAAAGGGGTTCTCCCCTCCCCTGAAAACCCAGCATAGGAGCCATCTGCTCGGAGCAGTTGCTGCTGCCATCGCTCCTTTGTTACAGCAAATACCTTAGTAAGAATTTGTGGATTTATTATTATTTTTGGGGGGGAGGGGAATAGATATTAAAGTGGGGTTTGCCTTGGGAGAAGGATGCCTTTGCGGGGAGGGATGGGGACTGCTCTTTTATTTTTCACCATTCCATCGTGAAAGAAGACCAGCGGGTTGCATTTAAAACAAAATGTTTTGCAACCAGATTTGAGCCTGGTTTGACCCAGTCCTCCTTTTTGCCAGTTGATGTTTTGTCCTTTACCAATAATCAATCGCTTATCCCCCTCACTACCACCCCCCCAACACCTTTAGATGGTGGAGTGGTTGTTAGGATGTCTGTACTTGCAGACGCCTGATTTCTCCAGGAGGCAATTTGCCCCATGTAGCTTCTGTATAATTGCAAGAGTTGTTTTTGAGGAGGGGGATGTTGGGGGGGGTGGTTATTGGAGAAGGGGGATTTGTGGGGGGGTGCATTGCTAAGCTAACAGCTTCAAAAAAGCAGCCAGGCGTCTTTGCAGTTGTGTGTCAGGGGGAAGAAGCAGGTAGGTTTGCTTGGCTTTTGCTCTTTCCTCTTCTGGCATTCCCGGGACATCAGGAGCAAGCCCGGCCAGAAGGACGGGTGGCAGCTGGCCGTGGGGGGTGCGGGGTGCCTGGTGCGCCGTCCTTCCCTGCCGCATTTGTCCGGGGTCTCTCTCAGCTTTGCTCAGAGCGCTGCTGGGGAAGGCCAGCGCTGCAGCACTGGCAGGAGGGAAGAGAGAGGCAAAGGAGAAGGGAGGTGGGGACAAGGAGACAAGAGGGCAAAGGGTATCCCGCCTGCCTCCCAGGGCACAGGGAGCCCAACGCATGTGCAGGGGTTTAAGCAGGGAGAGTGGTCCAACCAGTTTCCAGACAAGGCTATTTATTATCAAAAAGCAGCTGGCTTTTCTGTCTGTCCTGTGTCACCCGGGAGGTGGGAGTGCAGGCAGGGGAAAGGCAAGAACAGGGCGCCCTGTGGGCTGCGTGGCCTGTGGATGTGCCCCTCCACGGAGATGAAGCAGACGTGGGTTGGCGGTGCTCTGGGGTCCTGGCCGGCACCATGGGTGCTGTCATAGCCCTCACCTGGGGTTCACGTTGTAGATTTTAGATGTGATAGAAACCACCTACAACGCGGTGCAGCTTCAGCCCGCCGGCCTGGGGAGCGGCAAGCTCGGGTTCTTTGGGGATGATGCAACCTCGGGGAACTGATGGCCTGGGAAACACCATGAGCACACAAACAGCCTCGACAATCTTGGGGTGGGGGTGGCCGAAGGACTCCTTAATGAGCTAGTTAAATTTACAGACAGGGCCAGCGAGAAGAGGAGGGAGGGAAGAGTGTGGGAGACAGCTGGGGAGGGAGACCTGGGCTTCTGGTTTGTTTCACATGTTTGACCCAGATGGGCATGGCTTTTCAAACCGGAGGACAGACGCAGCTATTAATAAAAACAAACACAAAACAACACGGTGACAATACTGGAGAGCGGAGGAAGAGGGACAGTGATAGCCAGGCGGAGGGAAGAGCCGTGAGCCGGCTGTGCCAGGCGGGGCGCGTGGCGGGGGCCGCGGACACAGCCCGCGGAGGAGCCGAGGCTCTCGAAGAGAAAGAGATGTCGATGGTGAACACTGCCACCCGAGTGAAGGCGATTTTTCGACAACCCACCAACAGGTTTCTCTGGAAGATGAGCAATTTTCCGTCTGAATTCACAATTTTGCAAAAACAACGAGAGGCCCAAGATTTGACTCGGAAGTTAGGCCGGGTTAATTCCATGGTCTTACCTTTCAATTGGGTTTTGCTGTCGCTGTGGGTTTGGAAGGCGGCTGGGCTCACAGTGGCCCTCAGTCCCCAGGGTACAGTAGTGTAGTAGCGTGTCTCCGGTTGTCCACAGTTCTTCCGAAATTGGGCTTCCGATAAATTTTATAAGATATAGGCCTCTCCTTTTTTGGGGAGTTGGTGGTGGTGGTGGGGGGTGAAGTTTGTCTCCCCTCTGCACAAAAGGAAACCCCATATCATTAGAAGTGTGATGTAAGTCAGCTGCTCTGATTCCATGGGAGAATAAAATGTGTTCATCAAAGGTGCTATGCCAGGCTGATTTTATTCATTTGTAATTCACACCTGAGAGAAAACAGCCGTGAGCATATTTTAACAACCCCTAATATTTTTAAAAGGGTATTCTTTGCCTCCCTGAATATGTACAAATGCAAATTTCTTTGTATTTTATTTTTTTATTTTTTGGCGGGGGAGAGGTTGCTTTCTGCCTATGCTCTGGCCTTGGTGATCCTTGGCCTTCAAAACAGTTCCTAACAGAAAACGAGTCATTTCTCAAGAGCTGGAGTGAATGCAGTCGCTTTGGTGGAACCGGCCTCAGGAGCGGGGAGGGAGGCTGAGGTCGCAGGGTTGGGTGTGGTGCTCTGCAGACCTCAGTGCAGGACCGAATGGGTTCTCCAGGCCGAAGCTACGGGCAACTTTGGGTGCATTTGGCAGTGATCAGCAGTCTGCCTCAGTGAAGGGGGAGCAGGCAAAACCGTCCCTTTACAGATACCAGCTTCTGACAGCCCCGTGCACCGGTTTCCAGCACCTTATCAGAATCCAGCTCTTGGCACTGGTTTTTCTCTTAGAACACGGCTTGCACCAGCCTTTCCCTTTTTTCTTTTCATCTCCCTTCTCCATCGCTTTGCAATCGCTGTTGCTTGTTGTGATAAAAGACTTTCCAAAATAAACTTTCAGTTGCATTGGCTTCTGCTTGATGGCAGGCGAGCCTGACGTGCCGCGCCGCGCCTGGCGCCACGTAGCGCTAGGGGGCGCTCGGCGCCCGTGTCATGGCTCGGCGCCTCGGCTCCGAGGGGCTGGGACCGGCCTTCCGTCGGCAGCCCAGGCCTTTTGCGTGGCTGCAGAATGTCTTAAGTGCGAAGTTGTAATATTGATTTTCCTGCGGAGATTGGAGCAGGACAACATGAGAATATAAGTTTGAGAATCTATTTTCAAGCTCTCGGTATTGATGGATAGGCCTTCACTTGGCAGATGGGGCATTTTTCTTCCTTTCTCTTAAAAACAAAACAATTAAGATGGTTAGTTTTGAATGGTGTGTTCCCCTCCGTCCCCCGCCCCCATTAGCCTGTGGTGTTGACTTTCTGAAAATTCCTTAAGGTTGCTGAGGCATTCCTGACCTGGGGCGGGAGACTGCGAAGAGGTGCCTCGTGTTGTCCCTTTCTCGCTGCCGGTCACACAGGCAGGGGACAGCTGAGAATCACTGCCTTGCGGAGTTGTGTACGTAGAACAGCTTGATGAATGGAAATCCTTTTAGCCCAGGTTTTATGACACTTGGATTCTCAATTCCATTTATTAGGTGATGTTCCCACTGTACTAAGGGAAATGGCATCCTTCCCCAAAGATATAAAATGCCAACTCAAATAGCGGGTAAAACTTGTTTGGAAGGAC